ATTACATACGTCTAACTTATAATAGAACAAAGACATATCTTAAAACTAACGTATTCGCTTGAAAATCAAATATTATGCTCCTGACACGTTAAAGAACCTATTATTAGACTGATATCTCCAATCAACTTCATCGTTGGTGTGACAGTTCGTATAGGACGTAGGCCCGTCTTATAACAACATTCCATTCTTATTTGTTTCTTGCTTTCTCTCACCAGATCTTTATATTCATCTCCTCTAGATCATTCTAAGCACTGTCTTTCCATCGTTTTCTTGACCTTCCTCTTCTTATTTTGCTTCTGATATCATTCTGAATATCTTGTATTACGCTCTTATTTCTGGCATTCTCATAACATGACCGAGTCACCTTAAACGCTGCTTTTTAATGAACTTGCTGATTGTATCAAGTTTAAATAGTCGTTCTATCTAGCTCTTGGTTGCACATATCTCCAATAGACGTAGATTGCTATGTTTTTTCAAGTTTAAGAGGGGCTGTGTACGATTGTGCAGATGTCAATATATTGAAATTCCTTATACATGAATAATATATAACATAGTAGAGGACTGTTCTCAGCATTATAATCAAAACACTTAACAATGCTTTTGCTGTAAGTAATAAAGTTCATAGAACTTTCTTACTGAATATGATCATAAAACCAAAAATAAAAAATGTTTTAAATAAAAGCAAAATATAAATCTTATAATATTTATTTTGTTATCTCTTTATTTCTTTATAATCTTTATGTTTAAGCAAAAAATAATTAAGCTTTAAATATTTAAATAACTTCAAATTCGACAGAACTTACAGTTAACAGTTTTTAGACTGAAGTATTATTATCGCAATTGTAATAAAATATTAAAAATGAAATCTTAAGATATATCAAAGTCGTACATTAATTAAGTATTATCAGATTAACATATAAAAAGGTTTAATAAACCATATATTTTCTTTGAATCGGTATAATTAGGCATTATGAATTTTTTTTATAAATTTATGAAGGTTTAGTTAATATTAACTAATGCATAATATCTCAAAATTAGGTATTAAAAAAATTATATGTTTATAATCGAAATTTAAATTGTGGACTATAGTCATCTTTAGGATACTTTATATTTTTTTAAATTCTATGTCTTTGCCTAGGTTAATTCTGTAATTTTATTAACAATTTATGGATTTATTTTCTTGACATTTGCTATTATAAGCATATATAAAACAATAAAAATTTAATCAAAAAATTAAAAATAATTGTTTCTAATTATATCTAATAATAAAACTTTTATATTTAAATACTTTCAATGACAATATTTCTGTTACAAGAGTTAAGTAACTTTTTTTATTTTTAATGTCTCTCTACAATACACACATGTTAACTAAAATTCTTCATTTTTAACAATTTTAATTCTATTTATTTATATATATAAATTTATAATTAATTTAAATTTATAACACATCTTTGAATTTATTTCATTTATTTGAACGCACAACTCACCAAAATATTTGAAGTGGTGAAAAATCGTTTATACAATGCAATACCAAAATAAATGTGGTTGAACAAAGGTAAACACCTCTTTGCAAAACCAACCAATCACAAAACAGAGAGCCAAAAAAACTTGTATAGGTATTCAGTAGAGTGGTGAATAATAGCAGCACTGCAGTGTTAACCAAAATATTTATAGTAAAATGTTGTTTGTTAACGTACAGACGATACAACGTGAGGGTGCAACGATGCATGCCGTTAGTAGGACGATTGCATTGTTTTTACCTGTTAACAGTATTTGCAACATTCAAATTAGGACGAGTGCGGTAAATACGTCAGTGGCATACGGTGAATCCGTTACAAATAATATATATATGATCGCTTTGTTTTAATCTGCCATTTGTCCCTAACACGAACGTTTGCTTTTTGCTTACACATTTCACCGCAGATAAATATAAAATGGGGGAGAATATCTCATGTATGTGTCGTGAAGCAGAACAGCTAAAGTAGGGAGGCGATGAACTATTGCGATCACTTTTGGCTGACAATAATCAAATGTAGAAATCACCCCTTGATTAAGTGGCAGAAGTGTGCCAGCATAATGAGGAGCTCGAGTCTGAAGCTCGTGGCAATCGTAAAAGAAATAAAAAAAACCGAGTATTTGACTTATAGGCTCGTGACACTCTGCATACAAAAACAAAAACAATTTACTTTGTCTTCATTTGCATTTCGTATCGTTTTTTATGTAGAAAAATTTTAAACTAGAAAAGAGAAAAGCGTTAAGAAACGCGCCAAAATTAAATGTTTTCTGCTGTACATGTGCAATGGAGAATTTTTTTATTACTTTTAAAAAGTAACCAGCATATCTTCAGTCTCTTTTGGGGTTAAAATACTCTTTATTGATAGCAGTGAAAAATGTTAAGTTTATCACAAGGGACACTGCGCATTTTCTTAGGTTCCAGATAAAAACGGTTCAAGGCAGGTGATAAAAGAGTTTAATTTACAAAGCTGCCAGATAATAAGTCACTAGATGCAAGATTATTATATTATATATTTAGAATATTTTCAATAATTCAGTTTTATAGTTAGTCAGATATATGTTTGAGTAAGTAAAAGAGAGTAGAACTTAAAATTTTACGCATTGTATTTTGTATTTATTTAATTTTTTGAAGGACTATTTTATAAAAAGAATAATATAATTATTATATATAAAACAAAATACGAAATAAAATAAAATTTAATAAAATACAATGTAAATTAATGAAATGATACTATAAAATAAAGAAAGTATACATAAATAAATAAATATGTAAACTAATATAGATTTAAATAATAAAGTATGTATTAAAAGAAAAGAATATAATTGAAAAAAAGAAGATAATATAATAATGAAAAGAAATAATATTAAGTAAAACTAAAGGAATATGCAATTGTATCAAATTTATAATAAACAAAAAAAAAAAAATATAGTAAAATAAATTGAAATAAAACAGAATATAATAATATATAACTATAATATATAACTCTGAGCTTCAAATTTGGCAGGGCACAAGTTTGATTCGTGGTACTTGCAATCTCAAAGAATTATTTAGGAATAATTAAATACAAGAATTATTTCCAAGTCCACTGATGCTGGGTATTTGGCAATACTCGAAATTAAATAAAATAATATAAAATGAATTTTTGTTGTTGTAGTTCACTACTGTTCGAAAAACCTCTTTATAACAATAATTAAACAAAAAGTAAATAATAATTATTACTACAATAACTATATGAAATTAAATAATGTAGTGTTTTACATTTATGAATTTTAATTCGGATTTAAAATCTAACAACCTTAAAATTAAAACTAGTTAATAGCAATACGTTTTGCATTTATAATTATTATTTAATTAATTTAAATACTTATTTAGAAGTGTTAAAAAATTTAAATTGCAACGTAAAACCCGGCAAAAAAGAAATACATATAAATAGTTGAATCTGATACCTCAACTATTTATAGAAATAAGAATATAAAATTTGATCAAATAAAAGTAATTAGAATAAAAAATAAATCAAAATATTAAAAAATTGTTTGATAAAAATAATAAAAGTCATACACACACTGATTTGTTTGACTTTAATTTGAACATTTTGAAATATAGTCTAAAATGTTATTTTTAAATAATATTGAAAAAAAAGTAAACTAGTAATCAGAATTTTTGACAGAACAATATTTGTTGAAGATTTGAAACGAAGTTTCATTCAAAAAAACATATACCTATTACATAACTCCAATAAAATTGATTATATTGCTTGCACTCACCACATGCGGTGCGCTTTAAATACGCAAAAGTACAATTTTTATGAACGTCCAATTCGTACTAGAGCTGCTTTGCAATCGAACAGATCCTATATCACCACATATACAGTATTCAACTCACTTGGTGGCTGTTTAATAAACGCGAAGCGCATGTACAAATGCTGATATAACTGATATGTTCAACACAGAAGCGTCAGTTGTGCATTTAACCAGAATAGAAAACAACAATGCAACAACAATGACAAACGTAAAATGAACAACAAAACAGAATATGTACAAACAAAAAAAAACAACAACTCAAACGCCCGCCAAACTTAATACCAATTAGTTGTGAACGCGTGCTGCCAACAACAACTATGAAGACAACTACGTCCAAACAACAACACATACAATTACAGCAATTACAACAAAAAAAAGATAACAACAATTTAACTAACTGATAGACATGCGCATAACTGTGAGTTTTGACCCTTGCTAAGGACTTTTCAATAACTGCTTTACCAACAACAACAACAACCACAACAACAGCAACAGTAACTACAGAGTAAGTACCAAAAACAAAAACAAAAACGATACAGAATAAAAGGTGAAAAAAGCAAATACGAGGCAATGCAATACGGATACTAACTATACCAATGCATTTTGAAGACAAAATACACAATTGATAACATAAGGCAACATACGCGCACTTATGTATTACAGCAACAACAAAAACAAAAACAAACACAATAACAATAACAACAGCAGTTTGAGCCCCGTTTTGATTCGTTTCACATTTGGCTCTGGTTTTGTTACGATTTCGGCCAAATTTCAAAAAATAAAATGAGAAGAATAAAAAATCAACCACTTCTGCACACAGTGAACCAGACTCTTGTAGAACGGAGCAATCGGTTTAATATTCAGTCAGGTGCCAAGCACCGAACAACGCAGACGTGTTCAAGTTAAGAAATTTAAATTTAAGTCAAGTGTACAAATAAATTCCCAGTCGCTTAAGAAATTTGTAAAAAATTTAATTTAAAATGTATATTCAAATAAACAAATAAATGAAAAATTTTGAAGTGTGAATATTTAAAAATTAACAAATTATTTTGCTTTCAAAAAAATTGTTCAAAAATTTCAAACCAGAATTATTCAAAAATTTTATCCAAGGATAATTAATTTAGTACAAAATTTATACTAAACATTTAAAATAAATGTTTCCTTAGCAAATAAAATAAAAAATACTAAATAAATATTAAAATATTATAAATAGTGTCGTATTTGTGAACAATTAAGTTTTTTCATAATTTGTGTTCTTTTAAAAATTAAGTTAAACAAAATGAATCATTTGTCGCCGCCACCCTCACCGCATTCGCAACAAACGCAATTGGTTGCTTTTAATAATCCCGCCTTAGAAATGAATATTAGTTCATCTAAAAATTGGATACAGCGTGCTTCGGCGTTTAATACAGTCATTGCTTCAGCTGCCGCGCAGAAACTCAACACAAGAGGTAAGCTTTGAGATATGAACGAATCAAAATGCAAAAAAATGTATTTTTTTTAAGATGGTTTGTAATTAGTTTCGTGATTTTATATTATTTTTAATTAAATAATTTATTAAGAAATTAAGAAATGAAAAAACTATAATTTATTATTTATATTTAAAAACAGTTGATATTTTATTAAAATATTTTTCCAATATTTCAATTATCTTCGATAGTCATCTTCAGGGAAATTGAAGAAAGAAATTAACCAAAAGAATAATTTTAAAAATAGTTATTTTTTGATATAAAATTAAATATTATAAATATTAGTCTTGGATATCTACGATTTGAATTTTGATTAATTAGTTATCAGAATTACATTCAAGTATATTCAATATATAAAATTCAATATATAAAATTTATATATTATAAATGATACTACTGTAAAAATAATAATAACCAAAATATGAATTTTTTAAAACAGAAAACTTGTGATAATGACAAGAATGTTTTTTCAATTTACTTCTGATTTATGTTTTTATTATAAACAATATATTATTATTTTTTTAACAGAGTTAATACTTTTTAAGGTGAAATAAATAAATAATGTATTATTTACAAAAAAATCATTTTAACTATTCATTGTAGAGTTTGTAGAGTTTATTTCCTAAAGTTTCTTTTCTCAAAATATTCCAACGGAAAGACGACAAACTATTAAATTTTTACACAAATTCTTTTTATGAATTTAATATTATATTACAAAATAATAAAATAAATTATTATAATTGTAATTATTTGGCGAAAAAAGTTGTGTAACATATATAAAGAGCAAATATACTTGTAAATTTTATAGTACTTTCCAATAGAAAATAATTTATATCTATCTTATGGAATAGAAATATTTGTTTAGAGAGATACCTAAATTTAATAAATTTTATTTATTTTATTTTTTTTGTTTGTGTATCAATAAAAAAACTGAATTTGAAACAAAATTTCGGTTATCGACATCACTCATACGTTACGTTGCGCAAATTAATATATTAATAATTTTTTAATAGAAAAGCAATGAGTTAATTAATGAATAATAATAAGTAATTAATAATATTTTAATATATATAAATATTAATAATATTAATTACTTAATAATTTAATAAAAGCAATAAGAGTTTAAAACAATTTCATCATTTATGATAATAATAATAATAATATTAATAATATTTTAATATTATTATACATAATAATAATTATATTGATTATAGTTAATAATTAATTAAGAGAAAAGCAATAAGACTGTAGAACAATTTATAATGATTCTACAATTAAATTAATATGAAAAAAGTTTTATTAAATTTTTTTTCAAATGAAAACTTTACTTATCATAATTATTTAATAACATAATTATTTTAAGATTCCTCAAATTTATACTAAAATTGTAAAAAGAAAATTTGAATAGATAAAAGAAACTTGATAATATATTTTATTAATTGAAAATTATTGCTATTTATAAACAAAATAGAAAATTAAGATAGTTATTGAAAAATAAAAATAAAATTTGTAAGCATAGATTAAACAAATAAATTTTGACTTAAAACAAATTCTAAAAATTGTTGTATGGTCTGTTATATATTTCATTGTCCTTAAAAAAATTATATATACCATAATGGAGTAACATTTATATGCTTTTTGCAAAAAAGAAATTACTAAACTAAATTCTAAATATCACGCAAATAAGCAAAAAAAAATAATTCCTAAAATCCTAAAAACTCATAATTTAAAAAATTATTTTTATTGTATATAATTTTAAATTATGTTGAATATTGATCGTAATAATTAAAAAATAATATAAGTAATTAAATAAATTATAAATCTTATTTTTAATGCAATATTCTATTTATAGCCTTATATCTAATATTATATTTACAATACATTTAAATTCTACAATATTAAATTATATAAATTTACTTATTATATAAATATGCTTATTATTTACACTATTTATTAATAGATTGCAAATATGAAGCTATATCAAAAAAGTAATTTAGTTTAATATTAAAATAATTTTATTTTCATCTTTGAAATTATATTTTAAATGCTATATAATTATACATTCATCTCTGGAATACTTTGCGTCGTCAGTCAGTTGAGCCATTGTGTTAACCCTTAATCGATATTTATGCTTTGAATAAACATGAATACGTAGGATTACTTAATTTTGGTTTATATGTAATGTGGGTTACTTTTTTCAGAAATCTTAAAAGACTTTTAATATTCTATCAACTTAGTACAAACAGTCTGTTTATAATTGACTTGTATAAGTTAAATTATTTTTTATACTGCCTTTGGCTTTTACAGATTATCCATTGGTTCTTAAATTTGACTAGAAATCTCTAGTACCTGTGATTTTCCCCAATATAACAAAATGGCTTAGATGCGATTAATTAAATTTGAGATACTCGTTAAATATATTATTGATTTTTGAGTTGCAGTTTTCTTTTAAAATATTATCTATATTATATATACATATAAACATATTAGTGTGTCTTTTAAATCCTGATAATTTTATTTATTTATATGCATTATTAGGTAATTTATAGGTATATTAGGTAATTTATATATATATGCATTATTAAATTATATTATAAAAAAAATATTTTAAAAATACTCGAAAATATAAAAATACTCGTATATATAAATTATGAATTAGTATAATCGTGTAATAAAATATCGAGTATGTGAAATTATATATCAAAGAAATTATGTTAGTACAATAATTAGAATGTATTGATTTTATAATAAAGTATACTTTATAGCTATATATAGTACTATAGATCTGTATTAAAAAACCAACTTGAAAATAAATTACAAAACTGTTATAAGAACAAAACATATGTCTAATATAATTAATATATATAAAATTAACAAGTGTATGTTGAAATTTTTATAATAAGAAAGTATAAACCATTTTTATTATTATAAAATTGATAATCAAATAAACATTAAGTAAGAAAACCTTCCACTAAAATTTTTATATTTAATCATATGCTATGAATTATTTTCATAATACTTATAAAAAATATTTACCAAAATCATTTCAGACCTTCCCTTCTTATACAATCCACTATTATACTCCAGTGCATTGTTATGGCCACAATTTCTATTATCATCTGCTTCCGCACTGGGTACACCAACTACACCCACAACACCCAAATCCCCTGCATCAATTGTAAACAATCGTGATTACGCTTTAACGCCAGAAAAAGAAGAATTTTCAAATAATTCCAGTTTGAATCAAACCTCACAAGACAATAGCAACGAGGAAATGCCACTCAATCTATCCACGAAACGTACTCCACCATCAAAAAGTTGCAGTCCAGAACCAGCATATGAAAGCGAAGAACATTCAATAAATACCAGTACTCCTCCACCATTGCGTGCAGTTAATCTAAAAGCCAATATAGGTTTTGAGGAGAATATTGTAAATGAACCAGTTACAAAACGTAGATCACAAGGATCAATAATCTGGTCTCCAGCTAGTATGTGCGAAAAAACAATGGAAGAAAATGAAGACACAAATAATTATGCTGTAGATCCAATAGTACGGAAATTTAAATATGAACGCCGCGCAAGCTTTCCACGTTACACTGGAGCTACCAATAGTGAAGCAAATACAGTCTTACAATCTCCATTATCTTCCACAGCACAGAGCACAGTACGTGCTGATTTCAAGGCTGATCTGGAATTTGAAGCAGCACAACAACAATTATATGCACACCGTAACGCTTTCATGGCTGGTCTAACAGCGAACAACTTCCAGATGCTGACTCAACACTTGAAAGTCAGTACACAACGCGAACTGGAATTGCTGTGCCAGAAGCGTCAGGATATTCTTCTGCGCAACAACAACGAAAATTTGTTAAGCAAGAATTCAATTAGTTTTGAACAGGATAATTTCAAAACCGAAGAGGATGCTGAGATATTCAAACAAAATCTGCATCAGCAGCAACAACAAGAGCAGCAGCAGCAACAACAACAACATCAACATCCTGATTCCACTGCCATCATAAGCAGTGGCACAGATGTTCGGCCATATCGTGAGGGCGATGAGAAGCGCAGTACACGCAACTTTCAGGTAAGCAGTTTTTGTTTTTTTTTTTTTCAAATTGGCTGTTATGTATATTGAATTTATTATGTTGATAAATACATTGCGGTATATGGTAGGGATATAAAGAAAACTAAAATTATTTACATATATAATGTATATGGGAAATCACATACAATAATATAAATATTATACATTAACCCTTCGATATCTCAAGGATCTGCGAAGTCATTAACTTATTTTCATAGCATGCAAAATAAATGTATATCATATCTATAAAATAATAATAATATTATAAATATTATATATAATTTATTATAAATAATATATGTATATAATAATATATATATAATTTTATATAATCATCATTAATGCCGTAACGATCTTAGTTTAATCTTGGCCTCCCTATATAACATGTATAATTTTCCAATAAGCCTTCAAACTGAAAATAAGTTAATGACTTCGCAGATCCTTGAGATATCGAAGAGTTAATGTATAATATTCTTATATATTTTTTGTATATTTTTTAAATCATATAAAAAATTGTAATGATTGGATAGTAAAGATCTTGATGAAATTTAATAAATCTTATAGTTAAGCATATCATATGGTTAAGTAAGCATTTGCATGATGCAACTCCGTGTACTTGCAGTAAAACACATTCTGAAGATAGTTTATACGCATGTTTGCACTAACATCCTCAGGGATCTCAAGATTGATCCGATTAAAAAGTACATAAAAGATAGAGCCCTGAAATTATTTACGAAAACTGACAGGGTTACCAACACCGCGTTATCGAATCTTAAAGTGATTACAGGCATCTTGAGGAGGTATGTAGATCTGAGGTCTTTTATTGTTTAGACTGATGAAGTGATAAACAATAATCCAGTCAAGGCGTAGAGAGGGGTTATGAAGAAACAACGCAGTTAATAGAGAGTAAAAGTGTTCAAGTGCACTAACTCAACTAGCCTCAATATAATAATAATAAAAGTTTTTAACAGTTTCAGCACTCTCTGAAAGTTAAATAAATTAAACACAAATAATAGTTTTCATACTTATTCTAGGTCTATTTCGACTGACTATAAAGATGCCTTTATCCACTAATAAAAAAATATAATAAAAAAGAAATTAAATAGAAATTTGACCTCATTTAATACAAATTGTTATAAACAAAACAAAAAAAAAACACGCAAAAAGATTCATAATTAAATAAATTAAGGTAATGGAAATTGATCATAAACCACGAGTACTGCAATATTAAAAATAGTTAAAAATATCTACAAAAAGGACATACATAAATCGAAACACATTACAGTATTACGTACCCGTACCTTAGTTTTATTATATAAAATATTGAATTTATAAACATTATCAGAACAAAAATCAACTGACACGGTCACCACTTCCACCATTCAATTAAGTTTCCACTGCTTTAAATCTCTTTTGCATTCGTTTAATTGTTAAATATCGTGTCAGTCGACCCACCACAGGCAAAGGCTTCAATACAATAATTAATAATTAATAAAAAAAAACACAACCAAAAAACAAAACAATAGCGAAATAGGTAAACCCTTTTAGAAATATTAGTTGCATTTAAATATATGTCTGTGCGGAGGACTGAAGTATGAGTACGTACTCGTGTTAATTGGTCAATATTTTTCGATTTTTGCTAGCTAACATAATTGCTTAATATCTCTGTGTTGACCCCTCGGTGGTACTACCTGAAACTCTATTTCTGTTTCTGTTATCATAAAATACAAAAATTGTTTGTTAATAAAATTTGTGGTACAAATATTTTGTTGATGTAAGAATTCAATTAAAAGCGATTGAAATCACGCAATTAGTTAATCAAATATTTAATAATTACAATACTCGCATAGCAAAATATGCCAATACAAGCAGGAATAGGTGCCGATAAAGTGAATTGATAGGGAATATTTATATACAAAATTCATCATAACCGGGAAAGCCTCAATGAAACTATTTTGAAGACTAAGAAAATTTAAGTCCTAGAAATAAATTATTTAACTTTAAAATTTATATTTTAAATCCAATATACAAATATCTTGATGGAATCACAAGTTTCCTATAAACTTAATCAATTACGGCGAAGCAAAGTTCATGGATTATTGGTACTCGACTTAATGCAGGAGGCACACGCCAGGTTGGTTGTACGCTTACTCTGTGTGTCAAGTTACATTTTTATCAAAAAAAAAATTATTAATATTTTTATACGCCTTTTCACACATCCTCGCTTTCCTTTTAAGTACATACGGACGACAAGTAAACAAACAATGCAACATGATACGCTTGAAGGGTTTCCTTAACAATCTTTTTTGGATATCGCTAACGCTACGTATATGTTTTCGTTACATGCGTTCCATGGCGCATATGGCCATATTAAACGCTATTTAACGACATTTAGTTTTTATTAATAATGCATATAAATTTTTTTTAACTTTACTTTTTTTTTTAATTCTACAAGTATTTTAACATTTTTTTGGAGATCCGAAAAAAAACAGTTTACATCTGTTATTAGCGTATAGACCACCTACCGCTGGCTTTTTATTTTTTTTAACCAAAATGCAACTTTAACCATATTTTCTTCATAAAAATAAATTTTTAAATCACAATTGTGCAAGATGTTTATCACGGATACCAGGCCAGTAGCGCAGCATCTGGCAGTTCCTTTTCTCCACGTATATGAAATTTATTCATATTAACTAATGCATGTGAATACTTTCATATATAATATGTAAATCACGAAGTTTGAGTAAATGCTTACAAATATTTTTATATTTGTTATGAATTATTTTTGATATCAAAAATTATGTTATATACTCATAATTATTTATACTTATAAACGATAACAAAAATACATACAGAATAGAACCCTTTATTACGAAAACTGACAGACTTACCAACACCGCGTTATCGAATCTCAGAATGGTTATAGGCTCCTGGGGGAGGTATGCAGATGAGAGGTTAATTATTGCTTAGTCTGATGAAGTGATAAACAATATTCCAGTCAAGACGTAGAGAGGGGGTTATGAAAAAACCTCGCAGTTAATAGAGAGTAAAAGTGCTCAAGTACACTGACTCAACTAACCTCAACATAATAATATAAAAACAATATACGTTGCCAAGTTCTTCAAAATTCAAAAATATTAGTAGATAATGCTGATAGAGTGCTACTCGTAATAGGTAATACTGATACATAATGCTGATAGGATTTTCACATTACTATGTTGATCCTTTTCCGAGGGCACTTTTACTCTTTGAATGCTGAGAGGTTTCTGCAGAGTCCCATCCATACCATTGACTAATTTATATATTCCTCATAAGCTTCGTGATTATTCAATGACTAATTTAAAATCTGCGTACCGCTCCGTGCGGTTAGTGATTACTCTGAGATTAAATAGTGCTAAGTAGGGCAGATCTCTTATATATTTTTTGGCCGGATCTATTCTAAGGTCTCTTAGCATGTCATTCGTGCGGATGTTTCATGACACTTTAAAGAGTCTTCTCAGATAGTTCATAAGATTTAAAACAAAATTTCCCAAAAGAAATATAAGAATCAAGTTTATTTTCGATCAAGTATGATTTCGATTTCAGTTTCTGTTGAAGAGATCCTTGATATCTTGTTTTTATTATAACAAACGAATTAAGATTATTGAAGTCAAATATGACAGAAAATAATTTGTAAATAGCAATGAAATACAACACAAATGATCATTAAAGATGAATATTTGACAATATTCAAAATAATTATATTAAAAACAATAATACCAACACTCAGAACTGTAATTTAGTTAATTTATATATCGCATCAGGTTTTACTTTGAACAAAAGAATATATTTATCTATAAAAAAATATGTAGACTGAACTTTGAACCATACTAAATATTATTAATATGGCTAACAATACCAAGATTTTTTTAGTAGATTCCTGCGATTAAAATGAAAAGTGTTTATTATTATAGATATTAATTTAATATTTATCTAGTTCAAATTAAAAGAAAACATGTTTAAAAACTTGAATCAAATGACACTGAATATTGGAAGTTTGTAATGCCTTATACTTAGGTATACTACTTCCAGTATAAATTTGTAATGATTTTTTGTGACAGAACAATAGATCTTGTAGATCGTATTAGAATACTCTGTTAAGTGCGATACCATTCGATGCTAAACCATAAGAACATAAGTTTTTTAGTATTTATTATTATTAACCGTACTCCATCAGGAGCATAAACTTGTTACATAGAATCTCCAACTATTTCTATCTCTCGTAATATAATTTAATTTATTTAAAAATTTGTCGGCTTCATTTGTTATCGTTCTTCTCCAGGTGTTACATGATGTTCATCTGTGTCTGTTACCTTGGGGGTTTCACTGTAGTGTTGCGTAGCATATTTAATTGTATGGCTTTCGAAAAGTTTGACCGTATTAGGTTTCGAGTTTAGTATTATGTATTCAAAATTTTTAATGCTTAAGAAAAATTGAGAGATTACATTAACTTCTCTTATTTCCTTTTATTTTATAAAAGTCTGATTAAAAATAGAAAAGCTACTTTTTGATGGCTCTGAATGTGTAAACTTTAGAGAGAAATTATCAAAATTCTGAAAATTTTAGAACTTTCACTTTATGTCGAAAAGAAAAAATCAAAATAAAAACTATAAAATTTCTTTTGTAGTTCGATTTCCCTAGTCCATTATAAAATTGATTTTTAAAGACTATATAGATCTTATTACTAAACTGCTTATAGTTTCTAAATTTTTTTAAAATTTAGACGCTAGAACTTGATGAGTTCAATAATTTATAGTATTTCTAGTTATTACAGAATAAATAAAAATGACATGAATGGAATATGTGAGAAAACTTTTTTAATATTGAAAAGGTTTTCATAAGGATTTCTCTAAACAGTTTGTAAAATCATTTTAAATCTCCTTTTAGTGCTATTAAATGGCATTTTCTCAGATTTTGTTTTCCTTTTTTTTTATAATAAATAAAATTTTTTTAGTACTGTTGGTTTTATACTATTTTATACTGATTATACTATCGAGTTAAGTGATGATATTTAGTTCGTATTTGATATTAATTAAATTCAAATTAATTTTTATTAGAATATTTTTAAATTGTATTATATTAAACCAATAACCGTCTGCAAGTAATAAATAGTTCATTTTATAAATCTGTGAAATTATTTTATTATTTATTAGTATAAGATAAGCTTTATACTGAAAATAGTGTCAAATAACCAAAAAATTTCAGTTACTTTCAGTGTAATTTTATGATGGAGTCTTAACTTAAATCATAGCCTAAATTTTCTGATTCATAAATGGGTATTTCCCAATGGTAAATACTAAGGTGACAATATCAACATCAGTCGAATTTACTTCCGTTTTGTAAAGTCTACTTTTCACTTAGCGTAAACTGTCATAAGAAGTGTATTCGCAAGGCAACACAAACCCTGCAACTAAACAATTGCAACTAATTAGTCGGCAATTTGAAGTTGTTGACATTATTGACACAATATCATATAAACAGCACTGTTATACAAAAAAGAAGTAGATCGGTCAATATCAATAATGAACTGCCGATAACACATATTCAGTATAGATATGTGGATATGTCAACATATTCGTCTTACTCGTGTACTCGTGTTCCAACCAATTGACTCAGTCCCGTGCTGCAGCGCACTTGTGTCAAGCATGCCAAGCAGTCGAGATCAGTAGCGTAAAAAAAATTATTAATTACCAACACGTAAGCAAAATACACAAGCATTAATTTAAGTAAATAAAATGTTTAGAAACATGTTGCCAATGCATTGTTCTCAACAACTGTTTAAACATTTTGATTTTTATTTTTGTTTTATTTGAAACTTAATTTACTCTTGCGGGTAACAAATCAACATCTCGATCACTGTAATCACATTTGATTGTACATATGTACATACACAAGTATATCAAAATATTACTTTGGAACACATATCACTGTATACGATACACATAATTACATATCATGGATAGAAAGAAGTAAATGAACTTAATTCTTAGAATTAGCTCAGCTGTATTAATAATAATAATGAAATTGTTTATAAAAACTCACTTATTTTAAAATGCACGCTAATATTACACTTTTTCTACATATTAGTAATGTATCAAGTCGATTGTTTGTAGATACTTTTATACTTCAGAAAGTGCCTTTTGGAGTTTTCAAAAGTTCGGTTTGTTATTATTTATTTAGCTGTTTTAATTGTTTCAACTCAATTTTATTTGATTTTTTGTGGTAAATTATAAATGTAAAAATTTAATCCATATGAAAATTTATTTTACGAATATATTTAACTGTGGAATATTTCTAATGACGTTAATCAGCATGCAAATATTTGCAGATATTTGACTAATATATACCCAAACACAATAATAATATTAATATAAATACATTAATTCATAAAAAATTGGTTCATTTAAATAGTGTGATTTCGTTTATTTAAAGCAGATTGGAATTTTGGCAATTCCGTTGGTTTATAGTTATCAAGCTGTGCAAACATTGGCAATTCCTACCCATAGAAAATGTATATAAATATAAACATTTATATTATATAAAATCGAATAAAAGCAATTTTAGAAATATTATTTTAATTTGATGGTATATATAAAGACAACTTTTTGAAACTTATTTATTATCTAATAGAGCTTTGTCAACATATGTCATATATTAAAATAGTAAAACATTCTATTTTTAATTATATACATTCTAGACTTCAGTGAATAATAGAGTCAAGTAAAAGGAAAAAGTTTATCAGATGACAATTGATTTCTGAGATATTCAGTTGTACTTTTTGAATTTGGTGTCGTATAAGACTTTAGAAACCTTGCAAATACAAATATTAATTATGATGTTTTTTAAATATTTTTTAATAATATCATATTTAATAATAAATAAGTTCATATTTTACAGTTGGTTTCTTAAATATTTTTAAAAAATTTGCACTCAGGTGCGCATTCTAAGCTATTAAGGCTTATTGTATGACGCCATATTGTATGATGGTTATTAATATGTTATATCTTATAACATTTTTTTAGCTTATGATAAATACCATAACATTATAATTTCACACTAACTTGATTACAACGATAGGGCCTACATGAGTCTGGTATGGATTCCACAATATTTTTAAGTACATTGGCAATATTTCTAAGTACATTAACAATATTTTTAAATACATTGACCATGTTTCTAAGTACATTGACAATGCTTCCATGTACATTGACAATGTTTCTAAGTACATTGACAATACTTCTAAGTACATTGGTAATGTTTCTAAGTACTTTGACAATATTTCCAAGTACATTAACAATACTTTTAAGTACATTGACAATGTTTTTATGTACATTGCCAATGTTTCTAAGTACATTGACAATACTTCTAAGTACATTGGTAATGTTTCTAAGTACTTTGACAATGTTTCCAAGTACATTGGCAATACTTTTAAGTACATTGACAATGTTTTTATGTACATTGCCAATGTTTCTAAGTACATTGACAATGTTTTTAAATACATAGGCAATATTTCGAACTGCATTGATTACTATATTGCAAATCACAATTTTTATAATATAATGATATAATTATTATATATATAATTATTATAATTTATTATGATTTTAAAATTATTCTCACTATCTATCACTGACAAGATATAAGTTAAAGATGAATATTCATTTAAAAATTTTATACTTAACATAACTTTTAAAATATTTTAAAAAATTTATTTGAAATTTTAAACAAGTTTTTAAACACTACAAGTTTCATTTTTTATAATTTTTTTCATTTTTAAAATTTAGCATCGCTAAATTTATTATACTTACAATTATACAATAAAGTTAATTTTATTTAAATTTAATAAATTAAAGAAATGTTTATTTTTTTTTTCATTTCAGTGTAAACAGTGTGGAAAGTCCTTCAAACGTTCATCAACATTATCAACACATTTACTCATTCATAGTGATACAAGACCATATCCTTGCCAGTACTGCGGCAAACGATTCCATCAGAAATCGGATATGAAGAAGCACACATATATACACACCGGTAAGATTTAAATATTATTTTTAATTATATCATATTAATAACTTTTGTAAAAATAATATGTTCAAGCAACTTCATAAAATAATTTTTTATACATCAAATCTATCATAAAATAGAGTTTTAGTAAAATAATTTTATGGAAAACACACTCATTGATCAAATTAGATTTTTAATGGATCTGTGGTTAACATTTTGTGATTGCACTATTTCAGTAAAATATTTTATAAAAATTATTAGTTGATTTTAATTTTTATTTAACTGTGTTTACACACTTTATCTTTAATTTTTTAGTGCCCTATATTAACTATTCGGTGGCTACTTCAATTACTTAAGTTACTTAAAAGTGTTTTTGTACTGTAATAATATATTCAGCTATATAATTTAATATAGTTCACACTACCACTAATATTCCACTCGTAGTTTTAATAAATTTCGCCAAATAAAAACAAATTCTCACGAATTTTAAGCTCGATTTCTTGTTTTATTTTTATCAATATTTTTGTTTAATATTGCATTCTTAGTTTTAACTATTGTATATTAATCAACTTAAATAAATATCGAAGTGTGAAATAAATCAAACAATACCGAATATTTGATTTTTAGAAAGCATTAAACAAATAATAACCTCAAGTTCCTGCAATCACTATTCCCAGTCATAATTTGTCAAACATGCAACCTTGCAATCCCAACGGTTTTTTCCCTAACTAATGTAAAGTGAAGTAAAGTGGTCACTTCCACACCGGTAACTTTTTCAATGGCTTACATGCAATTTAGTCCACAATGACACTTTAAAATGGGGAAGTAGTTTAAGAGTTATCACGTGGCAACAAAGTAAACAATAAAAATAACACCTTTATTATGCAATTTCCAGTCATTATTAAATCACTTTTGTGTCCTTTAACAACCACTGCAACTAAAATTACAACAACTTCAATCAGAAACATAATTTTTATCTGATTTAATTTTACTAATTGCGTGATTTTTTTATTTTTATTAAAAATTACTATAAAGTGTATAGTGTGAAACATGAAATGTTAAGTTTTTACATTCAGGTACATATATGTGATGTAAACAGTGAGGTACAGAAAAAGGACTTTTAGGTGAAATCATTCACCATGACAGAGTATTTTAATGATTTACTGGTACCCATTCTCGCAGAAGATAGTGTACAACATCTGAATTAGTATTAAAACAAAATCTGTAATAAGAGATTTTTATAAGTTATTTATATAGCATGATTGCGATTATCCGTTACACAGTAATTTGACATCAGATTTGAGGGGATTCAGCTATTTTGAGCAACTTTCCCTTCGCCGCTAATTACTGATGTTACTTGGTACCCGATATATCGAAGTAAAAAGTTAAAAACTTTTTAAATTAATTACTCTAAATAACAAAAAACAGTACACATAACATTACGCGCTGACTAATATATGCTATCTGTATATTTATATATAGAGAGATTAAATTCTTTGTCATTACAATGCAGATTAAATCTACTAATTTGTTTGTGACCAATTGTAAGTATGCTGGACTTCAAAGTCTGATATCATAACATGTAAACAACTTCTTCAAGTCAATAAATGAAATACTTACTAGTGAATTACACAAATTGTCACTTACAAAATAAAGTAAAAGTGTACTTTTTATGAACGTACTATTTCACTTCCATAAAAAAGTACTTTAGGATAAAAAAAACAACAAAATAAATAAAGAGCTTCACGTAGTCTTTACAATGGCATCTACTAAATACAATAACATGTAGCATAGTGGAAAAAGTTACTCTTATACAATGTTCAGATATACCTAAATACCTTAATACAAAATACAGTTTTGAGGTTACAACGAAATTAAGTAAAATGATCTTAATTTCGTTGAAACGAACTTTGAAATTAAACGACATTTCGAATGCAACTATGCGTTAGATAAATTTTTAGCAAAAGATAAAATTGAGATAACGAGAAAGTGACATTTTTTTAAAATAAATGTCAGTGACAGTTGAATTTAATAAGACCGCGAAAATATTTTGAAAATAGTGCATATTTTTATATTTGAATATTGAGAAAAAACTATAACTGTTATTAATTTAAAATAGAATAAATCCATTAAAGCTAATACAAATATTGAATGCTATCCTTTATAGTTATAATAATCAACTTTTAAAATTTCCCAGATACAAATTGTGTTTGAAACAACATTCGATTTGTAAACAAAAAATATATGATTTCCTTAATTTGGGGCAGTATGAACAGTTTCGAAATTAACTTAATTTCATTTTTACGATATGAAAGAAATTTGGCTGTCTGAACATATGGTAGCATTACAATATAGTTATTATTACTAAAATCGGTTGTTAAACGAGTATACCTAGGAACTTAAAATTCTGCCAATTATTTAATTCTTCAATAATTTTTTCTGCGAAACTTTAAAGTAATTTTACAGGTTTATAAAATCAAGACCTAATTTTTTATGCAAGAAATGAACTTTTTAAATGTTTAACTTTTTATGTTTTATGTTATAAAAAAAACTGATTATCCTTCAAAAAAAATTAAAAACAAATAAAAAAAAATTGATTTCAAATTGATGTTCCCTTTCACGAAGAAAAAATTTCTATAGACACCTCTGGCCCCACACATCTGTGATATATAATTATACAGACTTAGGTTAAAAATGTTGTTGTCATATTACTAAGCACTAATAACACTAATTGGCTTGACTCATAGACTTACTACTACTTAGAGTTTTGTATTGCCTCTTTTGTATTGATTTTAGACATTTTTGTTAAATTTTTTATTAAAAATATTTTTTATTTTAATTTCAGGCGAAAAACCCCACAAATGCACAGTTTGTTTAAAGGCTTTCAGTCAAAGTTCAAACCTGATAACGCACATGCGTAAGCACACCGGCTATAAGCCTTTCGGCTGCGGCCTATGCGATCAATCGTTTCAACGTAAAGTGGATTTGCGTAGACATCGTGAAAGTCGTCATGAAGAGAACCTAGCAGTGGTGAAAATGGAGGTGAGCAGCAGCTGCTGAAAATATACTTCGATGATATTTAGTTTTTTCAATAAATTATTTTATAAATTAATAAGATTTTATTATTTTTAAGTTAATTAGAAAAAAAAACATTTTTTTTAAATTTGCTATGAAATTTGTTTAGAATTAAGTTATAAATGTATTGTATAATGACGTATGTAGCCTTAAAGAATCCGTCCCAGTTGGTCTGCACATACTAAGTCGCTTAAGCCAAAGTACTAAGACCCCAAATTTAAAAACATATTTCAAAGACCAATTAAATTTGTTAAATTATTAAATGAAAATAATTTTTCAATTAATTAAATTAGCATAAGGAATTTTTAAATTAAGAGCAAAGCAAACAAACTTAATTGTAAATAATTACTTGACAAACAAAATTTTGGAAGACTTTTAAATTGTAAGCAAATATTTATTGTATTGAAATTAATTTAAAATGTAGATTTTAAATTAGTAAATAAATTTTATATTAATTCGTTATTCACTTAAATTGCATAATTTTTTTTCAAAATTTTTTGCCAATTTTTTATGATACATTGCAGCTAAATGAACCAAAGAATATTTATTTTTAACATAAAAACAAAATCCTACAAAAAATTTAGATTTAAATTGATTTTTAACTTGAATTTTATAAAATTTAACTAAATGAATCAGTTTTTAGTTAATTTCTATTAAGTATTTAACATAATTTACTAGATATATTTAATTTTCTTAATTAATAATTATTATTTAATTTTATTTATTAAGCATTTGTGAAATAAAGAATTTTAAGAAATCAAAATAAATGAAATTTTCTGTTTTATTATTATATATACCATATATTGACCCTTTTTCGAGTTAGTCCATCTGGGCATTTTTACTCTTTGATAGCTGGGGGGTTTCTGCAGAGTCCCACCAATCTCACTGACTAATTTGTGTATTTCTCATAAGCTTAGGGCAGCCTGTCGATTTTTGCATATATGTTAGCTTCAGGGCTCTGTCCCTTGTATATTGTTTGTCCGGATCTATTCTAAGGTCTCTTAATATGTCATTCGTGCGGATGTACGAAAAAAGTAAAATTGCAATTTTAATTCTAAAAATATTTTTAATCGCATAGAGATTTTCTTAAAAAAATGTTCAAGCCTAACTACTGCTTTATTTTCCAATTATAAAGGCTTTTCATGGTCAAGCTTCATAGTAAACCATTTCCTGTAGGTGTGTTGTATGTTAACCCATTCATATACCATATATATCAAGCAGTCAAGCATTCAATTTGTTTAAGTTTTAGAGCTGTGTGGATATTTATCATTCGTATACTCTGCATGTGAAAATTTTATAATAATATACAACCAAGGTAAAGTAACGGACGCGATATTCTTTCACAAAATTTTTTGTACTGTGAATATTTGTCGACCATTCATACACAATATTTTATGTATCATCTTACTGTAAAATATCAAAAAAAAATTTTATTTCATACAGCAGTCATCTAGGATAGTAAGAGCAATCTAATATAGAGTGTCATGGGCACGTCATGAGCAAAATTTTTGTTGTTTTCAATTTTTGTTGTCGTTTCAAATTTGATGTTGAGAACCGAGATTATCTATGCCCCGTTGCTTAGACAAAGCAGTGTTATTCAGTAATGAATGTCAAAATTTGTCTCTTTTAGTAACAAATTAATACAAATTCTGTGACTCTTTGCATAACATAACATACATATTCGTCACTGCCCTAAAGAGCCAATTTTGACGAGCCCATGACACTCTACATAACATGAGTTTCCTAAGTGTGCACACGTACTCTCATATATCACTAAAGTATATACAATGCGGTATGATGATGATTGACTGTGTAAAGACCGCTTTTTTTATGCATATCGACCTAACCAATTCTAATTGCAATTTTTTATTGAATTGGAAAACACAAAAAAAAAATAAAAAATATCAATGTTAATACAAAAACTAACAAAATTACAACAACAGTGATGTAGTTTTGAGTATAATAGGAGTTTGTATATCTATTCCAACCATATTATTCAAATTTGAAATTTTGTAAGCTTATTATGTAGAGCACATCAACAAGAAAGTGAGTCTATGAGTAATTTTTCAATATCTATTTTAATAACTTTAGTACATAATTCAAATAAAACTCTCAATAGTCACCCAATTCTCATATCTACTTGATTGTGCTATATTGTACTATTAGGCAAAGATACTTATAATATTATCTAATGTAATCTATAACTATATAATAAAAGATTGAATGCTTTTCAAAAGAGCGCAAAAATTTGGTAATCAACACTTGGGCTTTTTAAAAATATATTGTTGTAATGAAGTCATCTATTAATTATCAATACATCAACTAGATCTAAACAATCGGACGCTCTTTTAAAACTTTCGATGATCTTTCTGGCACATTAAAGTTCTTTTTCATGCAATAAGTAATTTATATCAATGAAAACGACAAAATTTTAAAGTTACTTAAGCAGCTTACTAAGTAAGCAGTGGAAACATAGTATTAAGGTGACGTTTTTACGTTTGTTTTAGTTTTAGTAACACCAGTAACTTTAAAATGATCAATTGCATGTCCCTTTTTTATAATAAATCACCGATTAGTTGAGTATTGAGGAATGTGTTTCAATAGTTTTGTATTTTATGTAATGTAACTTATAAATATATAGTGAAATACTGGAAAAGGAAGAAATGTGGTGTAGGTATGTCAACGCGTTTGTGGTATTTCGGCTTTACAATTCAAAATTTTTAATTGATTTATAAGTAACAAAACCGACACCGATTTAGATACACTTCAAATGAAATTTCACATACTGAAAATTTTGTTCTATATATCACCTGACGGGTCTTTTAGAATAAATTCAATTCACCAAATTGAAAAAAATTCAATTTTAATAATTTGTGTATGGGAATAACTTTAAATATTGAACCTGATAATGTTTCCATTACTTACTTAGTAAGTTACTTAAGTATTTTAACGATTATGTTGTTTTCAATATTTTACATAAGTTAATTATCGCTTTTATAGATCAGAAACGTCATGAATGTTCTAAGAGAGCTTCTGTTTTTTCATTTAATAAAATATCACACAAAAAATTAAATATATAATTGATATATTAAATCATATTAATTAGTTAAATCAATTAATGAAAACAAAGATTTTATTAAATACTTTGTTTACACTTTATATATAAAACATAAAGCAAATATTTGAAATTTTGGTCATTTCCCTTATGGGAAATTTATTTTTAAGAGTTGCATTCGACATTTTTGTTCTAATTTTCCTTACTATACATTCAAGTACGTTAAAAAGCACGAAAGCTCTTTGTATGGTTGATGAAATTTACTTAGTAAGTTAAATATTTAATAAAACAATACTAATATTAAATATAGCAACTACTAATAAATAACAATAATAACAAATTAATTAACTTGCAGATTCTCGGCTACTTTTACATAAAGGTGATATAAAGATATATAATAATGTTATCTTCAATAGAATTCTGCCATTCTACTTTACAAACTTTGATATACGTTTATATTATTTTTTAGCAAGTGCAAATAATATGTGGAAATCCCATGACATATTACTTACGATACTCTTATTTAAATATTCTGATATTCTATGTTAGCTTTATCTTTGTTCTCTCATTTAATTAACCGACTTAAATATTTGATCGACAATATAGTATCATTTAATATAAATGAGAAACATGAAAACACACACAAAAACTAACATTTTATTTATATATTTATTGCAAATTATATATAAACTCAATGAGAATTATAATAAAGTGATATATTACAAACGAACAGTATAATTTTAAGCACAAAGATTTATATGATTTGATTTTTTACTTTATTTTACTGTATAATTACATAATCTGAATATGCATTAGTAATGCATAATGAAACTTAATATGTTTTAAACGGAAGCATAACATCTCATATCACTTTTCATACCATAAAATATATACTTGATTGTTTTAGATTTGAATTTTGTGAATTTACTGTGAAAATTATTAACAAACTCAATTAAGAGTATAGTATAATATGTATCTATTTGTAATTTTTTTATATTTGTACTTACAAATACCAAAATGTTTTCTGAATCTAAAATAACAAATATTACTGAAACTTGAAGAATTATCTTAAGCTGTGACAAGAAACACTATCATACTACTAGATTCTACTAGTAATCTAGTAAAAATACATATTAAAACATTCTCATCTCTTAAAAAACATATATTTTCCTTTATACTATTTACTATTGGTATATTTGTTGATAGTTACACTGTCAGTTCTGAATCGACACTTTCAAATGAATATGGTAATTTGATCCTATGATAGTTTAGAATTTTAAAAAAAAATTTGAAAAATAATATTAATAAATATTGTTTATTATATATTTTATATCCGGTTAAAGGTCACCTTTTTGATAAAATTAAAATTAAACGTTTGTTTAATATATTTTAATATATTCTCTGTTTTGACTTTCCTAGTGAGTGATCATCAGGATCAGGATCTAAAATTAATGAACATAAATTAATATTAATAAAATCTATATGCAAACGTTATGTTCTTGATTCTGTATCTGTATTGGACAGAATATTTGGAAAATATTAACAAAAAGGTGACCTATAGGTGGATATAAGATACGAGGACTGATATATATATTTCTAGCTTAAACAACGCTAAGTGTTGCCAGGTGCAATCTGACATTTCCATTGGAAAGGTTGACATTTTTTAGCACAACATCACTCAGAACGTGTTGTCATTTAATTGTGAACTGTTTTATTTACAGAGACTTGAAAAATTCATCCCGGCCAAAAAATGGAATTAACATGTGAACATTTTCGTGCGATCATTTTTCACAACTTTCGACGTGGATTATCACGACAGGAGTGCATTGATGAACTAAAATCTTTGTATGGTGATGAAGCACCATCCTATAGCACTGTGAAAAACTGGTTAAATGAATTCAATCGTGTCCGCCACTCGCTTAACGAATTTGGCCGTTGTCCACGCTTGTGCCAGAGAACATTGATGCCGTGCGTGAAC